TGTTTCTTTCACGATGTATACCTTGATATATACAAATCAAATAAAGAAATGATGTTTACCTACAAAAAAAAAAAAAATAAATAAAAATAAAAAGATTTCTTGATTTTAATAATTTCTTCTATAATAAATACTATTGACTTTTGTCTTAAATTTTGTTTTACTATTTAATTATAAATAACTTTTTAATTATTGTATGCTTGTTTTGATTTATTAGAAATTTATATTAAAGTTAAAATATATAAATTAATATTTATACTTTTGTACTAAATATTTAATTGAATATTTTCTATTTGCAAAAAATAATAAAAATAGTATTTTAAAAGCTATTATATTTTTTGTTCTTAGAGTTTCTTTTTTTTTTAATGTTTAAATGATCTTTTTACTAATTTTTCATTATATATTGAATCTAAAAATTCATTGACTTTCTTATTTTCTAACAATTTAGCCTTTATAATAATAAATCAATATATATTAGAATTAGATATGTTATCAGATATGTTCTCTATCTGTTCAGGCAAAATAATTTTCTTAAAGGCAGTATCTTGTATCTGTTTTAGATTTATAGAGTCAGTGTTATTATCCTTACCAGAGTGGTTATTAATAGATGATATAACAGGCTTCTATGGAATTACCAATAATGTTGAAAAAATTGAAGACTGCAAAATATCATAAACAGTTCAATTTTGCTTTATAGTTTTCTAAAATTAGTAATTTCTTCTATAGTTTATTTTAATTTAGCATTTTTAGTCTCAAGTATAGTAACTCACTGTTTATATAATTCAAGCTCTAACGATATACTTGATAATAATTTTTATATAAAGTATGTTTTGAATTACTGATCACTTTTGTCAAGAAAAAAAATCTTTATTTAATCTGTAACAATCAATAATATATTAAAATTCGACATAAGACTTCACAGATACAACCATATAATTATGGAATAATAATGTATTGTCTACATTACTCATTGCCATATTCAAGATTGAGTAGAGGATCCCAGCCTTTGGACTCAATCGAGCATGTGACAAGTTTGTAAAGAATTAGTGATTATGATCAATATATATAATTACTGGTAGTTCCTCGCCTCTTATAACAAACTCTTTCTAGTATCACAGTTTGACTTTTTTTGGTTTTTTAAGTAGGATCCAGAAGTTCAGATCTTGAGTATTATCCAAGTTTTAATGAGAAGACATAAGATAACTATGAATGGGAGTGGTGCTGATGGTAAAAAATGTTTCATGAATAAAGTAAACAATGCTGTGTTGGTTCCCTTGAGTTACTAGAAACTTTCCGTACAATAAGAAATGTAATAAAATGCTACAATTTATTCTGAACGAAGTGGAATATAATCTGAAGTTGGGGGAAGCATAGTTCAATAAAAATGACGAAGGATAAGTATATGCATCCCCAAATTCCATATGCGAAATGATGATTGATTGTCAAAAAATATACATACTGTATTCGAATAATGTTTTATTGATAGAAGGGCGGGAGATGTGACATGCAAAAATAAATGCAGATAAAAATGTAAATATACAGTATATTGTTGACATTATTCGGCGAGTCATTCGCTAGCTCCAAGCTTGGTTCGCGTAACGTCAGGTAAGTAAAGTCGCAAGAGGCGTGTGGATGGATTTGTACCGGAATTTCTCTCACAAATAATCTGCTACTTCTTTATAACCTTTGCCGCGATACTCTCTTTTGCAGCAATCCAGGTTATCCCTCCAGCCGACAGTCTCGAAAAAGGTAAGTCTTGTTTATTAGGATACTTGTTTAGGTAGTGATGGACTTTACTAAATAAGGAATGTGGTTTTATTAGGTGAGGGCGGGACGAACGGTTCTTGAGTAACGGTCTTTATTTTTTATTAATTGACGGTCTTCTTCTTTTCGCACACCTCACTTCCTTTTTATATCGTTTCTAAGAGAAATACTTATCGCCAAATAAACTATTCTAGAACAGGCTAGAAGTTTATGAGGTTAGGACTCGTATTATGCTAATGCTTAGACTAGTAGAATATGGTCGCGATACGCAGCCATAACGCGCCGGTTTGGCCTTTAACAATATGCTAATCGCACGCCACACAGCTCCTATTCTTCGGCAAGAATTTTCCCGATACTGTATCATACTGCGCATTTCAGGTGATCGACTTCATAACGAATTCAACACTCCCTTCATCATATCTACTCATCCAATTCTGAATTACGTTCATTCTCGGAATCTTCAAACTGAGATCTCCGGCTGAGAAATCTATTACAATAATTCAATTCCCAGAGGAATCTCAACATTTCCCTGTGTTTGTTAGAATGGAATCATACTGTCACTGGGAAATAGATAGACTTTAGCCTGGGATACATATTAACGCTTCTATGTTACTAATTGCAATCAAAGAATTGGTCAAAACATCTGAAATTATGTTTTGCAGGAATGGGGTTATTCGCAAATTGATTTTTATTATTATTCAAAGCTATATTATTATCTTACGCGCTTGTTAGGCTGTGTAAAAATTGAAAAGAAATTTAAGAAAGTCATAAAACTAAAATACTAAATAAGTAGCTAATAATAATCCCCCATTTCGTAATATACTCATATACAGTTCCATTCTCTTCAAACCATCTCAACTGATCTACCCCTTTAACTAAGTCTCTCGATGCTTCTTCAGGAGAATTACCAAGTGGCCATAACAGTCTAAAAAGATCATTCCATAATCGGTCTCTCCGATAATAATTATATGATAAATTAGTTCTTTAGGATACTATCAATAACTTCATAATCAACCAAGGTTGCAATATGAGAATTATCTTTAAATGCATCAACTAAGATGAGAGAATCGTTACTACGCGACGTTCTTCCATTTTTTCCTTCACATAATTGCACTTGAGACATAATTGTAGAATTTTCAGCAAGTGATTTTCCTTTACTGGTAAAGCGAGAGTCCGCGTGTACAAGGCAACTCGCCTTCCGGGGGACAATCCTTTTCCAACTATCGCCTCCCAGGGAACCGACTTTGAGCAGTTTCCCAAAAGATGCCTGGATTTTTCCAATTGTTTCAGTGTTAGGACATCCTTCATGTTCTTTGTCCAACGTAATATCTGTATTTTCTCCATCCTTGTATTTACTACCTCCGTTATCACTGATGACTGACAACGAATTATGAATTTCACATCTTTGCCTTTTCATTTCGATACTTGATTCGAGTATGTAAGGTTCACTATTGTTGGACGCAATTTTGGATCTGGCTGTATTATCATCATACTCGGTACTAAGCGTTCCTGACTCTCGTATAGATATTTGATTTTCTCCTCTACTGTCATTTTCTTTGAGGGCCGAAGTGCGTAACTCCAAAGGAGACTCCAAACATTGTAAAACGTGATGATTGGTATCGGTTAAAACTTGTCTAGGAATACTGTTTTTCATATAGGACCGCAAGGTGTTAATTCCCCCTTCGTTCTATAAAAAATGTTTTTTGAATTCGTTTTCAAAACCTTCTTTTCCCTGTTCTCTCTCTTCTTACCTGAAAGGCATCACAAACTCTGCAATAAGTTCCTTCTGCCATGGCTCTCTTAAAATTTTTAACCAGCCGAATGAACTCTAGAAATAAATATGTAAATCAAAGAATGCTAAAAGCCTCAAACTGGCAAACAGATTAGTTACAAAAAAAAATTGAAAAAATTCCGTTTTGTTAATAAATAGTGACGCGACGCCAGTCACGTGGTATTTGAGGTAGTATGATAGAAAAAAGTGATAGAAAGTGGTTAAAATGCATTTACAGTACATCATGGTACAGAAAACAATTCTGTCTATTATTTCTTTTTGCTCACACGGGTGTCGCCACAATCCGATTGATAGGAGTTCGGAGTATGATACTGCGCAGTTGAATTCCGTAGTTAGTATTACGTTGTACTTACAGGAGTAAAATAAGTTATGAGGTGAAGATCGTGAAAAACGATTAAATAATGTAAATCATTGTGATCAAGCATTATGTAATGATGAGAAGGCATTAGACAATTGATGTCGTCATATTTTTTAGAATGTATAAGTCATCCCAACTAAAATGCATAAAAAGATTTCAGTAAAAGTGAATAAATGACAGTGAATTATCTTTTACTCGGCCAAATCGAAAACGCCTTAAATTTCATCAACTTCCTTACCCCATATCGACGGTTACGCGATACACTGCTCCACTTTGGCAACAGACTCACCGGTCGACTGTCACAATATATATGTGTATATTAAAGATAGAAAGAATAAAAAATATATTAAAATAATATTATTAAATTACAATTAAAAAGAGATAGCAATTTAAATTTTAAATTTTTATATTTATAAAAAAACAATTATTATTTATTAAAACAATTTCAATATATAAATCAATTAAATATAAGTTGATAAAAATTTAAAAAAATTTTTTTAACTTAATATTAGGTTACTTACTTTTTGATAAATTTTTTTAAAAAATTTTTAATAGTAAAAAAATATTTTTATTATATTATAAGAAATATTTATTAATAGTTATATAATACTTTGATAGAAAAATATTAATCAAAAATAAAAAAAATTATTAGATATTTGATTACATTTTTATATAAAATATAAAAAACTCCATATAAAAAATTCTTTTTTACAATATTCAAATTTGTAAAAATTTTCTTTTTTTTTTATAGTTTTATAAATAATAAACAGTAGATAATTAGATAATTAGTATACAAAAATCCATTGCTATTAATATATATATATATTATTAGCTATATATGTTGCTGAAATTTGTTAATTTTTGACACAATTGATATATTTATTTGATATTGTTGTGGTGAAAACACGGCGAGTCAGTCGCTTCAGTCTGACTCACGTCGTGTCACGTTTGGGCGGGTTCTTGCTTCTCAAAA